GTTAATGTTTTCAATATCTTGTTTAATGCCATGTTTTTATTTGATATAAAAGTTTCAAATACAAGTGTATTCAATTAAAAATGCATGATTCCTCCATTGCATGTTTGCAAGAAAGACCATGGATAAACTAGAATTTCGGTGCAGCATTCCCCAGAACTATCTCAAATGATTTGGAGTGCTTCCCAAACTGGAAGAACAATCACTTCAACAAAGATGAGTAAATGGAAACTATTCAGTTGAAACAGTTAAAAATCTGAGAAAAAAATTTAATTTGACCAAATTTTCCCCGCAATTGTTCTAAGTAAAACACAACTGTGATGTGCTCAGTGTCCAGGTAAGACCACAAGAAATTGTAAAAAATATAATGTTGGACTGAATGACAAATGCTTTCAAAACTCTCATTAAAAATAATTGTTTTTACATTTCCATTGTTTATAATATGTAAAAATGATAAAACCTTCTTAAAATTACTATCTCTTTGAATAATTTCATCGAATTTATTTACATTAACCATTACTAATTTTTAAAGATTTGCAACACTTGAAGTTTCAAATACAGGTGTATTTTGCTTATGTTTCAAAATATTCTAAGATTGCTATAAATCAACATCAATCACTTTTAAAATGTAACTTTTAATATGTAAAATATTTACATATCATTAACCCAGAAGCATGCGCACTCTTTTGAGTTACACGAGCACGTAAAAACCTACTATATTAATATAGAATTTATTAGGAATTCATTATATTATTATTCAGGTTAGTCAGGAATTATTATTCAGGTTTATCAGGAATATACTGCTTGAAAGAACATCTTCCTCGTAAGGCTTCAAGTTTTTCATTAATTGTTATGAACTCACCGACAGTGTGATGTTTTTGGTAGTTATTCCCAAAATCTTCAAAAAAATCTCTTATAGGTGCAAGTTTATCTGATCTGTTCTTGAGGACGTGAGTTCCTATGTCATCAAAATGCAAACATCTTTATAAAAAAAGAAAGCATGTGTAGAACATGGTTTTGTGGAAAATTTCCAAGCTGGTTCCGTCTCTTGCCAGCAGATCTCGTACATTTACATGAGATGACTTATGTATGTCACAATATAAAAGACCTATAAGAGTGCGAATTTCAGTTAGAGTTGTGTTATAAGCATCTCTCTCTCTTTGAAAGCTGTCAGAAATAGATGCAATATAAATATTTGTATAACGTGACGACTTTCAGCAACATTTGTTCACTTAGTAAAAGTTACCAGGATTCATTTGGAGTCTACACATATTTCGCTTTACCAATGTTTCCAGGAAATTTAGTAATAAGATTATGAGCAGGATTTCTTGTTTTAGACTTTCTTTTTACTTACGAAACTTTATACTTTCTTTTTACCATTGGGTTTTTGTCTTTTCAAATAAAGCAATAAATGTCACTCAAATTTTTGTTTTCAGAATGCATCTCGATTTCTGAATCAGTGTCATGAGAACTAAAAATTTCATTATAACTTTCATCATCAGTTTCTTCGATGGAGTCTTCAACAGTTGATACATCAAATAATTTTTGCAAATGTAACGTTTCTTCCTTATACGATAAATTATGCAACATGTTTGCTGTTTTCTTTTCTACCACACCTTACAGCAATGCAAATAGACGTGTTAGGTCTGAAAGACCCGATCCGATTAAAGCAAAAGTTAAAATAAAATTTCCGGCAAAAAACTTCGGGATAATAGGGACGTTTTCAGAAAGGTTTCTTTAATTGAGCGGGTCCATTGGACCCAGCGTGTGCGCTCGCGGTTTAATTACAGCTTTTCGGTGGTTCAGTATTTAAACAAAATCTATATGCTTTCATAATCAAAATCTTTTAAATAGGAACCGAAATATTCCTAATGTGTGCAAAGCATCTAACGAGCTGCTGGTGGAAAGTCTACGGAAATTCAGAAGGCACGTCGCGTGGCATTCAACACGCAATGCTAGCGCCATCTATTAATTAATCAAAATAATTTCCACACACTCCCCACCTGAACTCTGTTAATAGTTCACATTAATGCTTTGCGGCACAGTATGTGTCCAGTCTGAACACACCTAAAAATTGAATGAAAACGGATTTATAGGTTACTATAGGTTAAGGTTACTGAACCTTCTTTATTTATACAGTACAAAGTCCATAATCCGGACTCGTCGGGACTTCAGCGATTCCAGATTAGGGGTTTTTCTGGTTTATAGATCATCAATTTAAATCTGGTAAGCTGGCATGCAGAAATTATACAATTAAAAATATGAAACCGTAATTTATGAAATAAAGAGCAATTATGATCTAAAGGGTATCGAATTTTACACAAAAAAAAAAGCTTAATATTTATTTGTTTACTTTATTAAACATTTCTTTCTACGTGCGCATACGTAGAGCATCACGCGCATTCTTTATGCCCATGCGTAAAGCATACAAAAAAAAGTTTGTGGCCTTAGAGGTCCAGATTATAGATCATTCCGGATAATGAACGTCCAGATTACGGTTTTGTACTGTAGTAGATGGCAGCTCAATACAAACCAGTTCATATATTTCAGTCATGTTTAGTTGGGGGGGGGTATAAAAGGAAATGTTTGAAAAGAAATTTCTATATTATTTTTTTTTTTTGGCTGTACGCTAATCTCCTTATTCTATATTTGTTTTAAATTTTTACCTTGAAATCTTGCCTTAAAATCAAACGGTGAACCCTAGGTGTGCCCAGACTGGGCTCACCAACAATCTAGGACAACTGAGAGTCTGTATTCTTTTGTTTCTCTACATCTCATCGGTCAGTTCATTGACAACAATGCTCATTTCAGCACGCTTTTCAAACCTCTATTCAATCAGTGTGCCCCTTTGGGCACACCCACAGAATTAAAACGATAAGTGCTATCTTCACAAAATTTTACTTGTGTACTCCTGTAAGCCTAATTAGACTGCCTACTTTTTTTTTTTTTTAATCAAAACTCCGACTTTAAAAGGTAGCGTGACAGAAAGGGTTAATCTAACAACAATCAAATTTATATCAATAAGTATTTTAACATATAATTATAAAACAATTAATCAGTATATTAAATGAATAGAAAATATATACAAACTATAATCATTCTACTAAATTCTAAAAAATACATGTTAATCATCAAATACAATTTGACACTACTTCAGTAAATCTAAACTATTCTTAATCTAATCATATGAAACTAAATTAGCAAAATAAACAATTGCATAAAAAGTATCCAATCTTAATCATATTATTAAACAATAAAAAAATATTTTTAAAGAGTTCTAAAGGATATAATAATTGAACTTATCATTTTATTATTATGCAAGATCATCAACTTTTAGATCATCATAAATGTTAAGATTTTTTAATTGATGAGCTGTCCGAAGATCCATCAAATATTGTTTTTTCCATTTAGTCCACAACTCTCTAACCAATAAATCTTGATAAATATTTCTTTTGGTCAGAGAGGACTTGGTAGAGCCATCTCTAACAATGAAGTTAAAGTTAATAGGTAATGCAGAATCTTTTTTCCCGAAAATCAAAAAATTGATTGGCTTCAGTGGCAACGGTTCCTTATGGTCATTGTATACATATGTCAAAGGACGAGAATTCAAAACAGCTTCCACTTGTGCTAAAACCGTTGACAATTCTTCAAACTTTACTGAGAATTTTTCTTAAGCACTCTTTCACTGATTTTACTAATATCTTGTAAAGCCTCCCTACCAAGCCCCTCGTTCTATTATAAACTTCCAACTGATTCTTTCATTCAACAGAAAATCTTGGAATTTCTCCTTCGAAAATTGTTTAGAGAAATTTGCAAGTTCTTTTTTAAAAGTTTTTGCGTTGTCTGAATAAATTACTTGACTATTGCCTCTCCTAGATGTGAATCTTTTGAATGCCATCAAGAAAGAATCCGTAGAGATTTGGTACAAGTTCCAGATGCACGGCTCTAGTGATAGCGCAAGTAAATAATGTTACATAGGCTTTTTGACTTCTTTCGACGTTTTTTACGTAAATTGGTCCAGCGAAATCGATTCCAGACACGTAGAATGGTGGTGTCTCATTGATTCTATCTTCTGGAAGTTGAGAAGTGGTCTGATCAGCAGATTTCAATGAATACCTTTTACAAATAAGACATTTATTATTTTGACAAACTGATGTCCTTTTGGGATCCAAAAGCGACTTCGAATTTCAGCTAAGGTCGTTGCTACTCCTCCATGCATCAGTTTAACATGTGAACTTTCTATTATCAAATTCATTAATAATGAATAAAATTGCTAAAAAAGCTTGGGCATAAACAGGTTAATATGTGTTTCTTTCTATTGATATAAAAAGTCTTCAGACTGAAATTAGTCCACTCCTACCCAGTAAATATATGGTTGAGATTACTGAATAAAATACTTCTTCACATGATTAAACTTAATTATTATTATCACTACTTAAACAACATAATTAAATTTCGACATGGCATATGTATCAGCTTTATAATGACTCAAAAATAACTTCAGGAATACGCTAACATATTTTAAACCATATAGTACATTAAAAAAAGTGGAGAGATGTTCTTTTGGAAATTAACACTTAATCATGCAAAATTTTACAGCCTTTTACATATTTAAGAAATATTTCCACTGTTTTCATCAAGCTTAGTTTTCCTAGTTTATGTCAAGTTGTTTATGAAGAACTATGAATTCCTATAAAATATTCATGATGCAGACAAAAAGCAAGATGTGAAAAGAATCGAAAAATGAACTTCGAAATGCAATCAGAATCCTTAAAGTAAATTCACTAGAATTTCATACAAGTACAATACAATAAACTTTTGTTTTCTTTCTTCTGAAGTTGGCCTTTCTGTTATCATATAAAATATCAAACATAAATAAAGAAAAATAAATTGCAACATTAATTGCTAAATTTTGCAAGCAATTTAGGGTAAAGCAAGTTATAATTTGACTATTACTTAAACCTCCCTTTTACTATTTCCTATGATAAAGATTAAAACTTTACCAGAAGAATTTCAAGCAGTTTCTCACGTGAATGAAAATCTTCTGCTCGAACCATTAACCTTGCCAACATCAAGGTGTCATCTTTGTTGCGCAGACCACCAATCTCACTCAATTTTCCTATTTCTTCTTCCAACTTAAAAAGAAAATGTCACAAATTAATAGTGCCACATAAATACAAATAAATATTTCTACAAAAATTTAGGACATATTAAACAATTCTGAAGACTGAATATAACTATGATGGAATGGGAAAATCTTCTGAGTAAGAAGGGAAATGATTACTAATGATTTTGTGACTAGATAATGATGTAAAATGTAGTACCCATTTAGTCCAAACCATATACAGAATTACAGTTTTGATCATTTTTGAGGTTAGGTTTAACATGCCAGATATATGTACAACACATATGAGGAACGGACTAACTGGTAAATATATATATATATAATAAGGTGCTGCTGCCCCTCCCCCCAAAAAAGGTGAAATGAGTAGTCAAAGCTTTAGCGCTTATTTGAAAAGCAGCACGATTTTAAATTATCAGCAAGTGTCAATGCCCATGGCTAACAGGTACCATGAGTGAGAAAAAAAAGAAATGATCTTGGTTATTGTAGATATTTGGTAATCTAGCAATAAATTTGATTTCAATACTTGAAAACTTTAAGCCTTGACAGTTTTCAGTTACATACATGAATAGTGAACACTCGTATCGTTTTCCAACATAATATTCAATGAATTGCATAAAACATTAAACATTTTAATTACAATTTTCCCCTAACTCCATAGTGTGCCTTAAAGTAAATATGTAAGCAAAGTGATACTTATCAAATACGCTACCAAATACACTTATCTAAAGAATGCAAGAAAATCAAGGCCAAATTTCTAAATAACATTGGTATTTAATGTCCTGTTTCTGACAAATTTCTTCATTGCAGTAAAAATTATTCAAGAAATATATTTTTAAGGACTGACAGAAAATATTACCGCATTTGACGGCATATAAGACGCACCCTTATTTAGAAGGACACACACAAGGGGAAAAAAGTTTCAAAAGTCCGTGCGACAGTTCAGTACCACCAAGAATTTAAAATGTGGTTTATTTTAGTTCTCACGTTACATAAAAGCCAAATAAGCAATCATTGAATGCAATTACCAAACATATTTTTATTAAGGAAAATTAACAATTGGCAAGCTATTTTGAACATGATATGTAAATTTCAATAATGAATAAATGAATGAACGGCAAGCAATCAAACATAATACAAAATAAAGCAGAAAAAAAAACAAAAAAACACAGATTCAAGGAAAATGTTGCCTATCATGAAATTAGACTTTAATCACTTTCAAAACCATAAACATCCTTTTCACTATCATCATCATCGAAAACGAGAATATCGTCATCACTACTGTTTCCATCATCACTAGTATCACCTTCTTCGAATAATGCATCGTCTTCTGTTCCCTCAAGAGCATTACTGATTCCGCACTTCTTAAAGGACGTAACAATTACTTCAACCTTTACGTCCTCCCAAGATCTTTTTACTCACTCGCACACTTGTGAAATAGAGGGCTACTTCATTCTACCTGACGGTGTGAGGGCGTGATGTGGCTCTCCTATCCACTTGTTCGATCGTTCTCGCACTTTTTCCTTAAATGGTTAATTCACCGATACATCTAAAGGCTGCAATTGGCTAATCAGTCCACCAGGAATGACAGCTATCTGGAATTTTAATTCTCGTTTTATTCTTTATGGATTCAGTTCTATGGGTATCCAAAACCAAATGAGAGGGTTTTCTTAAGAGTCCACCAGGTCACCTCGCCCATACGTTCTGTAACCATAGTTTCCTTCCAGCTTTGTCTATCCAGCCATTTCGGATGAACATGAACAATTACACCCACTGGAAGTTTTTCTTTTGAATATGAAAAACGGCGGTAGTTTTGTGCCACCAGCACAACATGTTAGAACTACCATATATCGGGTTTTTTCATGACCTGTGGTTTTTATGGTTATTTATTTAGACCCTTTAATACTCACAGTCTTGTTGGATGGTACATCAAATGTGAGTCGAATTTCATCCATATTTCCTATTTGACCGAGCTCAAAAGAAGTTTTCAGTTGCATGCATTTATAACAAACCTATGAAATGATAGTACTTTTTCTTCATAATCTGCTGGCATTTTCTGTGCAATAGTTGTTTTTGTGCGCATTGATAAGCCTTGCCTTTTCATGAACCTGTAGCACCAGCACTCAGACCATGAAAAGTTCTGATTCCCGTGTTTTTCTGCAAATCATTTGGCCTCATTGATTATCATTTTGGTTGAAACACTTATCCCAGATTTCCTCTTATCTATCACCCAGATTTTTATGGCATTTTTCAAGTTCAGGCCAAGATGGAGCTGGGTATCGAAGGTTATGTTTTTGTTTTTTAGCAGTTTTCAGTAGATCTTCCTGCAGTCGCCAAGTACATATCATTTTTTCGGTAGGTGGTGGACCGAAATGCCTTGCTGCTGCTCTGTTTTCATGCACTTTGCCGTAGTTTAACACTCCTAGTTTATATTGAATTGTATAGCTTAATCTCTTGTTTCCTGTAGTCATATTTTCCAGGGTATTTTTTTAAAACAAATAGTTTTAAGCACCGATACCGACACGTTTATACAGAGTAGCACCGATACCGACACATGTGTCGGCTGAGTCAAAGAAAGTCTATGTAAAGATGGAAAGGCTCCATAGACGTAATGTGACCATCAAACCTGTTCGAACTTAGACATCAGCTTCAAGCTTTGGCGCTTTTTTGATGACGGATATTTCATGCATGCGCAAAATAATTATGATAGATGTAGAAAAAGGTATGTGTGTCTAGACCTTTATCCGGGCTAAAAATAGCATTCAGTATTGAAAGTTAACCCGTGTCCTTCACGTATAAGATGCAAGTAACTTTTTTGAGATGATCTTTAACTTTTTTGACTTTTAAATTTAGGAAAAAAAGTGCATCTTATATGCCGTCAAATATGGTAATCTAAATTTTGATTTGCATAACCCAAGTAATTTTTCAAATGAATGTAATACTGTATAATTGAAGTTCTTCATTAAAGTATTTTTAACTAGCACTTAAAAATAATGTCTGACAACTGCTGTTTTTGACCAATACACATACTAGCAAGTAGGCTGCCAAAAGACAACTAATGGGGCTTCTGGCAAGAAAACTATGCCCCCATATGATTTTTTAACTGGTGGGCTAAATCTTATGTCTCTTGCACAAATCATGACCACCTATCTTATTTCATAAATAAATTGGTCTGACTGTTGAATACTGTTTTTACATATGGTCACATCTCTGGTGGTCAAATTACACATTACAAGATACAGCATGAACAAATTCTTATCACTCTTGACATTGAGTATTCATTTGAAGCTGATAAAAGTTTCTTAAAACTTTATAAAAAAACTGTCGTTTTCATAAGTGCCCCTAAATGTTATCACTGTTAAAGAAAATCTCACTTTCTTATCTATAGTCCTATCTAAATTTATATCCACTTTAATTTTCTCTCTGTCTTTTTTTTTTTTTTTTTTTCCTCTTTGTGGGACACAAAATACTGCACCTTCAATATTAAGGAAAAGATTTTTAAGCTGCAGAACCTTTTAAAAAATACAGCAGCCTTCATACAAAAATGTCTGGGGATGTATTCGGTTATATCTGGAAAGTTCTGTGGTTTCACAAATTGATACCTCTTTTACTTTTTGAGCCAGCAAACACTAGCAGTAAATTCCTCATAAAATTTGAGAGCTTACTCTTGCAAAATCTATCCTGAAATGGATGTTCCCTTTCCTGCCTAAACCACAAATAAAGTGCATCACTCACTCTCTTGTATTCACCACCTATCATATTTTTCTCTTCCTTTAAACTAGTGATTCTCAACCTGTGTTATGTGTACATTTGAGAGAACAGGATAGCAAAGTTAAGGGTATATTAAAAAATTACCAGTAATGGTAGAAAATAACAAGCAATAATGTAAATAATGACAAAAATCAAATCTTAGAAATTTAAAATTTAGCACTGATTAGAAAGAAAATTACTTGATTCTGTATGCATCATATCAAGCCATTTCCTTCCTTGTTATGTGACACAGTATCGTATATGGTGACTATAGTTTCAGGATTTAATAATTAATGAGGTTTGTTATGCAGCTCTCTTATTTTAAATTGTCATATACAAACCAGTTTGACTGCAAAGTTTTGCTTTAAATTCTAGTTCTTTTAAAGTCGCAGATTGTAAAGTGTTATTTCTATAAGAATAGATATATAATTAAGAAGCAGATCTTTGCAAAGTGCAGAAACTACTTGTCACAAATAGTTTTGATTTGGCGATTCCTTTAAAACAGTCTAAAAATTAACACTTTCTGAAAAAAGAAAAACTTGTACTTTTCTGACTTTATTTGCTGCAGTTTATTAATTTTATGGCATTAAAATAAAAGCATTTTAAGATATACTGCAATAATACTGACAGGCAGTCAGACTTATAGACATTAAAGGAGGAATTTAAGGATATTTTATAAGTCAGTATCCCATCAAGGGATACAGGAAATAAATTAAGTCTCATTAAGGGGTATATGAAAGAAAAAAAAGTAAATAGAAAAGGCTTTATAGGTTATTACAGGTTTCTTTGAACCTTCTTTATTTATACTAGATAGCAGCACAACAACACAACAACAAAAAAAAAAAAAAAAAAAAAAAAAAAACAGTCAATATATTTGAGCCATGTTTAGTTTTTAAACAGCCTCATTTTTCAAATATGTGCCTCATTTTTCACACAAATATGAATTGTTTGAAAAGAAATTTTCATGCTCTTTTCTTGGCTGTACGCTGGTCTCATTATTAAACATTAATTTTAAGTTTTTACCTTAAAATCTTGCCTAAAATTAAACAGAGAACATGTGGTGTGCCCAGACAAGGGATCACTGAAACACCAGAACCAGCCCTACAACTGTATCATTGTTTCTCTGCATTATTTTCTTTAGTGAACTTATTCACAATAGAAAGGGGGCTGCATACCTGTGTTTCATTTCCTGTTTTTCCTTTGTTTTTTTGGAGAGGAGGTTTGAATATTAAGAAATTGTTGGAGTGTTTTTCTAAAGGTCAG